ATTCGCATCGGGGGCATAATTTGAACCAATCGCATCGCATAATTTGCATTTTATTTCGCATCGCACTGAGGTCCCTATGCCACACATTACAGGTTTGTACGTAGCCCAGCATTGTTACGTAAGACTTGTTTCATTGCTTAACCCAATCAGAATTTAGAAAATCTGTCGCGTAAATTAACACTAAACACTAAATAACCACTCTGAAATACATACTTATCTGTTATACCATTTTAAAGATATACGTGTTAAGCTTACCTATTTCACAAGATAATAGATTGTTTGCCATGTCCACTTCTGCAAGTGATGATCCACTTTTCGTTAAAAGTCTGGATACGGAGGATCTTATCACCTTCTTATAAGAACAAAACCTTGAACTTAGTGAAAAACATTTCGATGTACTTCGTGGTGAAAAAATTGTGGGTCTCTTCTCTCTCGACATGAGCGAAAAAAGTTCAAATATTGTAGCTTAAAAGTAGGACCAGCGACATTAATTGCAGAGATTAAGGATTCAACAAAGCGTTCGTTTTCATTGTATGGTGTGACATGTGGAAGGTTCTGTTTTTATGAATTTATTTTTACAATATTTCACAATATTCTAGAGATAAACGTCTATAAAAGATATTTTATCCTATTCCCATATGAATTCTGGTCCTTACAAAATTTCGTGACATATGCTATTTGTAATGATATTTATGTTGATAAGATGGAAGCACACCGGAAATTTTATAAATATTTGGACGAAGTCATTAATGATGTGGAGGTTTCGCAACAAGTTCGTAAACGCGCAAGGAACAAAAAAAGGTTAGTTGTTTTATATAAATATGTGATCAAAATGGTGGCTTTTTACCAGTCTCTTCTTGCACCGCTCGTTAACTGCGACTTGATGAGGGTAGGTCAGATCCTTGTAAGATGTTAACTTTTTTTGCTAGCTTCTTACGGTTCTTGTTAACTGCGACTTGACGAGGATGGGATCTGTATCTTCGCAAGTAGCCAAGTTGGTACTTCTTTGATAAAAGTTTACTGATCTGGAGGAGGTGTCAGTTGTGTATCTTTTATATATAACAAAGAAGCTAAACAACCATTGATTTAGTTTTTCATCTGTTCTACTCTCTGAGAAATAATTTTCTCACTCAATCTTTTCCTTTTAAAGTTTGATATAGCGAAAACACGAAGCGCATTAAGTGACATAACAAATAGTAAATCAGTTGTATTATCGAGAAAAAAAAAGAATACGCATAGATCTGCCGACACATCCAATTCTTCAAAAAAGAGGAAAAAGATCAGTAGCATGGCTACTGTCGCTGATATAGAATTGAAATATGACCCCCAAGAGAATATCGAAAATCAGATACCAGAGGGTAAGGAAGTTTCTTATCTATTACTTAAGATAAGGTGTATATATATTTTTTGCTTGTAACATTTACACATAGTTTATCATCATCCAGTTATTAGTCAGGAAAAAGCACTCTCGTTTATTCCGCCAATCATTGAATTTTCTTCGTTTGCTTCAACTTCAAAAACTACTACTTCAGCAGTCGGTAAAGCACCGATGAAAGTACTACTTTGGAAAGAGTTTTTTGAAAAAGTAAATGGATATAAATTTGATGTGAACCCAAAATTCAAAAAACCAGAATTTCATTATAGTCATTTATTAAACAAGGAAAGCACCGTTTTGACGGCCACAGATGTCAATATTAATATGATATTAAATGAAATAATGGGAAAAAATTATGATTTTTCAGACCGTCTAGCCTATATTCCTGGCTCAGACTTTACTTGCTACTATATGGAAGAAACATTAATTTTGATAATGGAAATAAAAAGAAAGCATCTCTTTGAAGACATGAACGGACAAATATTTCTAGAATTTTATGCAGTGAACAGTACAGTAAAGACAATAATTCGACAAATTTATGGTTATATGGTTGATAATATGCTTCAATATAGTGTTCTTGCAACTTATGACCAACATTAGTTTATATATCGACCATATAATGAACCGGATTCACTTTATATTACAGAAACTCTCGTTGCAATCAACATCACCATCCATACTTAAGGCCTACGCATATTTGGCTTTACAAGCAAAAGACCACCACTATTCCCCTAAACCTTCTAAATCTAAATAGCCTTTGATAAGCATTCATTTTTGATTTTGTGATAATTTAGTAATCCCATTATAATTCTTATTTTAGAAATTTATGAGGCGATCGTGGTTGTTTGTCTTTCTTTTTTTGGTTGATTTTAATGAATGGTCAATAGATATGTCGAGTATATAGTATACCAATATAGTATAATTTATCAGGTAGTATAGTGCGGTATACATTAGAGTAATATCAGATATATAAAGTAGTACGTATAATAAAAAAAAATTTTAGCCACGTATAGATTATTTTTTTCTGTAATATTGATATTAATGATCTGAACCGGGTAAAAAATTCTTAATCGGTTAACCGAGTTAACTTACCCGGATACAATCGGTTTAACCGT